TTCTCTGTTGTGTTTCAAGCTTCTTTTGTTCTGCAGCTTCTTTCTTCCTCTGAAGTTTCTCCGCAGCTATAGCCTTCTTCTCTTGTGCTTTCTTGTCTGCTTCTTGTAGCTTCCTCAGGACTTCTGCTTCTTTCTTCTCTTCAAATTGCCTCAATTTCTCTTTTTTCATTTGTTCTGCTTTTTGGGCAATACTGGTTCCCACAGATGGACCAGAGGCAACAGCTTCTCTTGCAGTAGCAATGAAAGTGGAATCTGGTAATGGCCCTGGGTGAGTTCTTGGTTGAGTAGGAGGTGGAAGCTGCAAAAAGTTAAGCCATGGCATCATGTAAGAACACAACAACAAAGAATACTCTAACAACATTGTATGATCATGCACAATATATGGCCTGGTTTCACATTCTAAACTTACATTGTCCATCATCTCTTTCAACATGGTCTCCTCCAAGTTTGCATATGTGGCTCTCTCATGTTGTCCTAGCAGCATATACTCCTGATCACCATGAATTGTATGATCCTGAACATCTTTCCAGTTAGTGCACATAAAAAAGCAACATAATTGTATGTAATGGACACACTGAAGTTACCTGGGTAATCACAGGCTCAGTCTCCTCATCTGACTCAGCTACCAGTGTTCTGCCCCTCTTCTTGGGTTGCTTTTTTGGTGGCATGCCAGCTTTGTAAGAACTGCATCCACCTTTGTTGTGGCCTGCAAGACCACAATGGCTGCAATGAATAATGACCCCATGCCTTGACAGCTTCACCCCTCCCTTCTTGCTTGGTTTTTCTTCAGGTTGTTTCCTTCTGTTCTTCTTTTTCCTCCCAACTTTCTTTTCATACTTTGGAGGATCAATGTTAGGGCACTGGACAATGTGGTTCCACTCTGTCATGTCTCTAAGTGGCATCAAGAAGTGAGCATAAGCCCTGTTGTAGCTCTCAACTGAGTAGCAAGAATTAACAAAATCCACTGGATTAAGTCTTGCTTCTCTCATACATGCAACTGCATGATGGCATGGAATACCAGTCAAATTCCACCTTTGACAGCTGCATGCCAAGTTCTGCAACTCCACAATGTAATCCCTACCCATGCTAGCAACAGAATAAACACCATCTCCTGCTTCTAATGGATAACAATTGTTGGACAATTCAATGTACTTGTCCAGTTTCTTTTGAATTTTGGGACATATGGGTCCTGTAAACAATAGTGCTTCATCTCTTTTGTTGCACATCCTTGTTGTGAGCTGGTTGAAAATTCTCTTAATCATTGCTAGAATGGGAAGTTCCCTTGCCTCAAGAATATACCTACATAATGGCATGATCATGTGTTGGAATTTGGAATTTAAGTAAAAAGGTTTGTGAGCTACAGAGCAATGTTGATAAACTAGAGATCAAGCTTTACTTGACTTACTTATTGAAAACCTCAGAAATATTGTTGAGCAGGAGGTCACATTTGGGCCAGTCTCTCTAAAAAGCTTTCACCCACTGGTTAGGGGGTAATTCTTCCAGCCAACTGTATGCATCAATGTTTATGATCTTCATCTCCTCCATTGCCTCATCAAACCTATCAGTTGTTGTGCATCTTGCAATTTTCCATAATTGATTTTTTAGAACTTCTCCTCTGAATTCTTTGTTAAAGTTCTACCATAGATGTCTCACACAGAATCTATGCTCTGAGTAAGGGAAAAACTTTTGTATAGCATTGATCAAGCCCTACAAATAGAGTCAAACATTTGAAAAGTTCATTCAACATGCATATAACTTAGTTAAAATGCAGAAAATACATTACAAACTTGGACAGTAAGTTACCTTCTGTTTGTCTGACATAAAAGTCCACAATGATGTGTCCTGTATTCCAAGATCTTTCTTCAGAGTTTGCATAAACCAGTTCCAGCTCTCTGTGTCCTCAATTCCCACTACAGCAAATGCAAATGGGAATATGCAGTCATTTGGGTCAACTCCAACAGCAGTTAACAAAATTCCTCCACTGTTGGTCTTCAGGTGGCATCCATCCAGACAAATCACTGGCCTGCACCCTTCCATGAAGCCCCTTTTGACTGCATCAAAGCTAAAATAGCAATGCTCAAACCTACCTTGTTCATTGACACCAAGATAGAAAGTACTTCCTGGATTTGCTCTCCTAAGCTCACTTGCAAAGTCCCACAACTTGTTGTATTGGGCATCTTCATCTCCATATATTAAGTTCTGAGCTAACTTCCTTGCTCTGCCAAGCTTTGATCTAGAGACCTTCATGCACCAATCCTTCTGCACTAGCCTTCCTAAATTCATCAAACTGATGTTCTCATCTGCTCTAACAGTCTCAATGTACTTCTCTGCAATGAATCTGTAACTAAAACCCCTGATTTTCCACTTCTTTGCACAAGTGTGCACATCAACTAATCTCTTTATCATGAAGCACTTGCTTCTATTGTCATAAGAAGCCCACATGTACCAGGGGCAACCTTCTTCACACCTAGCAGCAAGTCTCCGTTGGTCATTTGTTGGCATCTGTATAGACACTCTGTTTTTGCAGCTATACTCTTTGATAGCCCTTCTCAGCAATTTAACAGAGTCAAACACTTGCCCTACTTTGAAAGTAGGATTCAACATGCCCTCTGGTGCAAATGTTTTGAACTTCAACCTTAATTCCTCATCATCTGAATCAGGCAACTGTAGGTCCTCTTGTTCTGAATCCTCGCTGGGCTCTACAACTTTCTTCCCTTTCAAATCATGTAGGCCTGTAACTGAATCATCATACAAATCATCATCATCCTCTGATATGTGGTAGTCACTATCCACAAGCTCTGGAACATAGTCCTCATCATCTGACTCTGAATCTGTGTCATAATCTTCATCTAATGTGTGACCTCCTTTTCTGACTTTTAGCCCTATTTGCAATATTGTTTGAGTTGTGTAATTCTGACTTCATTGGACTAATGAGAGGTGGCAGCTCAGCTTTAGGGAACCTAACTACATCATCATGAACCTGACCTGTTTCCTGGCTCTGCTCAATGCTATTGTCAGTAGCAACATAGAAGCACAGTAACTTGTTCCCAAGTGCTACTGCACATGACATGTTTTCTGTGTCTTCACATGACCTGATTTCTGCCAAGCCATTGGACATCATCTCAAATCCAGGCAGACACCAGAAGACCCTTGCAGACCCAGAAATATCAAAGGATAATTTCCACAGCATGTCTTGGATACTGCTCAACCACCAATACCCTCTATCACAGTAATCAAACCATGCCATTTGTCCATTGATGTAAGAACTGTTTGTGCCTTCTCCAATGAAAAACCCACCATAATTCACAGCCACAGTAAACATATCCTCTAGATCAGCACCTATATGTATAGCAAATAAATTCAGTTAGCACATACAGTCAGGTAGCATATACATTCAGTTTAGTTAATTCAAATAGCTCACAAATTCAGTTAGCTCATACATTCAGTTTAGTTAATTCAAATAGCTCACTAATTCAGTTTACCACTTGGCTAAAAATTTCAGTTCATATAGATTCAATTAGCATATAGATTCAGTTAGTAAACATTTTACTGTAGACAAGTTCAGTTAACGCTAACATGTGTCATTCAGTTCCCAACAGAGAAACATAGCCGGGCTTAATTTTTGCATGACTAACATGTGCCAACTGTTACCTTCAAACCGTAGGAAAAAGGTCTAAAACAGAGTCAGTCTTAACCCCCCTAAAAAACCATACTTTCATAGCTATCAGGGAACAGAACAGAGCCAGGCTTAACCCCCCTCAAAACCATACTTTCTGTACCGGACCAAGCAATGCATCACATCCAAAACGAGGAGCAACAGGGACATGAACACGAGGAACAGGGACATATGAACATGAACACGAGGAGCGGGGGGGTGGCGATCACTCACCGTAGACGGGGGGTGGCTCTCCATCAGGTCGCAGCCGCGGTGCCATGCTTCGAATCGACGGCGAACTCACACGCGTAGGCGCCGCCGCCGCCGCCGTGCGTCAGATTGAAAACCCTAGGCGATCAGCGTCGCCTCCTCCTCTTTCCTTTCCTCCTTTCTCTTCTCTTTCCCTGAATCGACTGGTTTTGAAGCGGGTCGACGGTGTCGAGGTGGGCTCGAGGGGTCTTTCTGCAAACTGCAGTATGAACGTGGTAGCATTTTTGCGATATGGCCCTTCCATCGCGATATTTCGCTGCTGCAGTCCCTCGAACGATGAGGTGGCAACGTACAGCGAGTGAGACAGCGCCACGCAAGCAAAATACATATGAAAACGGACGCGGTGACCGTATGTGCGCACGCGGAACAAGTTTGTCAACCCGAACATTACAGTTTCTGAATTCAGTGACTTTTTTGCACGCGACGAACGAGCTTAGTGACTGTTGATGAATTTTACTCTAAGAAAAATCCCTAGGGATCCTAATCTTTCAAAGTTACTACGAAATTCCTTTGAATCAAAGGAACCCTAAATCTTTGTGGATTTTCATCCGTACACCCAGAAAACACCCTCTAGTTTGCTCGTTTTTACAGATTGCCACTGCGCCCGCAATCCCTGCCCTGCTCCTCCCGCTTCGCCGTCGCCGGCGCCGCGCGCGCCCCCGTTTCCCCGCCGTCGCCGCCCGCGCCGTCGGGGACGCATCCCAGCGCAGTCCCCACCGGCGCGGAGCAACGACCCA